AAAAAAAAAAAAAAAAAAGAAGAAGTAGAAAAAGGGAAGTTAGATTAACTTTTCAAAGTTAAACAATTTAGTAAGTGGCAGAATTTGGATGCTAGTCAAGATATTTCTGGTTTTAATGCAATTATTTTTAACCATTAATACTTTACTATCATCATAGTTGACTTTGGCAGAAATTTAAGCAATTTGTGTAACAGAATTCCCAGATAATAAGGATTTGACTTAGCATTTTATTGGCTCTTTCATCAGTAAAATCTTTGACCTAATATTCAGGAGTTGTAGTCTTAGCTATCTGTTTCCTTTAAAAATAAGGGAAACCTTTAGGAAGGTGAATGGACTATTTATTCGAAGTTATAAAATGTATTAAGTCTGGTCTAGATAATTTAGTTACCATGCAATTGTGTAACACAAATCATAAAATTAATTTTTATTACTTCCTTACTTTCAATTCTGTAAGCTTGTTTCCAGATAATGTTGCAGATATTGAACTTCATTTTATTAAGTGTTTCTTTAAAACTGACAGAATATCAACTTGCAAGACCCTCTGATGCAAACAGAAAGGAAATGTTATTTGGAAGCCTTGCTAGACCTGGACATCCTATGGGGAAGTTTTTTTGGGGTAAGATATTATTTCATACTTTCTGGTTAAGGAAGATTGAGAATTTCAAAAGATGATAAAGAATGAAAATTTATTAAGCTAGGGTTGCTAGGTACCTTTTACCTTTTAAGGTAAATAATAACTAGAAAAGTAGTTAAGCATGCCTTTATGTTTCTCTAACATTGGATATATCAAGAATGGCATCTAACATTTTGTGAATGTCTCCTGGGTGCTGGATACTTTCCTTAACATTGCGTGCACCTTCATTTGATCATCCTAACAACACTATAAACTGAGTAGTATTATCATCTCCTTTTAAAAATAAAGAAACAGACTCAGGAAATTTTTTAATTTGCCTAAATCACATTGTTGAATATGTGATTTAAAACTCACATATAATTTATTGATTATAAAGTCTGTTCTACTCCAACCTGATATTTACATTTATCAGTAAAGATTCAACAATGATTTTTCTAATAGTCTTTGAGCTGTGATTTAATTTTGTTCAACTGGTAAGGTAAGCAGTTTAAATGGTACCTGTTTGTAACATAGTGGCTTTTTCTTAGTGTTAGAATTCAATTATACCTTCATGTTCATCTTGATTTTTAACATGGTTCTTTGGTGACTTGATCTAAATGATACAAAAAAGCATACATTTTAGGAATTATGTTTAATATTAAAAATTAATCAGAGATAAAACCTCTTAATTATTAAGAAGGAAAGCTTCAGACAAATTCTATTTTAAGGTGTTGCAAACTAGAGATGTGGTTTTGTGTGTGTGTGTGTGTTAAAATATACTTCAGAATTGTTTCTTCTGAGGTTTGCCTTATATTGACATCATTAATAATTGAACCATATTTGTTCAGTGTTCTTGAAACCTCTAGGTTATTCCATTAGTTACTTTTAATAGCATAGCATGCACTGTTGATGAAGAGATGTTAACAAAGTAAGCATAGTTATTTCTGCTATTTTTCCTCTATTTAATAGGAAATGCTGAGACTCTCAAACATGAGCCAAAAAGAAACAATATTGATACACATGCTAGACTGAGAGAATTCTGGATGCGTTACTACTCTGCTCATTACATGACGTTAGTGGTTCAATCCAAAGGTAATATTATCTACTATAGCTCTTTAGAATTACTGCAAAGTAACCCTTTCTTAGTATTTGTTTGCCTTGATGAATGTTGCTGTGCACGGTTAAAGTACTTGTGTTTGATCTTAATATGACCTAAAGTAAAAACGGGATTTTGAGTGGTCACATAACAAGTAGCAGAGTTCAAGGAAGCAACAAGTCGTCTGAGTTATCAGGCAAAAATTTTTTCTTATTAATTATTTCTAGAATACTCAGTGTGTACTGATAGGCATTGCATTAGTTTGTTTTTCATGTTGCCTCTGTTTCCTCTGGTTTTGCTTTTAATCTACACTGATCATAAACTCTTAGGGCAAGATGTCTAGGGTTCAGTAACATAGCATGGATTAATTGAAATACATCATGGTGACAATAGCAAAAATATCTTAAATTCACAGTACTGATGAATACCTCTTTTCTTATGTCGTTTGCAGTAACTGGTATTAATTATTAAGGAAATCATCGTGACTTTCTTCACATTTCAATCTCTTAGACAAATTTTTGAAGTTAGTTGCTGAACTGCTCTTCTTGACCATCTTCAAGTTTATATGTTTCTTTTTGAAATTTGAGTTCTCTGACACTAATATGAGTCTTTTTTGAAAATTTGTTTACTCATTGTCAAACTTAAGATCAGGGGTGACTTTTTTTTAAGATTTATTTATTTATGCACACAGAACTGGGATACAGGCCAGAGGTACTGGGGGTGAGAGGATTCACCAGGGAAAGAATAGGGAGCAGAACCGGCAGAAATACTGAAATACACTGCTGAGGGGAGCAGCAGGCAGGCCAAGAGAGGTCCGCTACACTATATGGGTCATCCCCCTGGCCAGGGATAGAGTTGAGCTGAGTGGCTGTAGTAGCTTCATAGTGCTGTGCTCCAACCAGTTGTGCCATCAAGGAGGGCCCAACTTTTATTTATTTATTTATTTTTTTACGTCATTCTTCATTTTGTGCATTTTTTCATTTCACTTGTAATTCCCATGGGCTTCCTACCACCAGTTCACCCATGTGCCATCACATTAGACCAGTGCACTCTTCCACCCCAATTCTGATCCCATTCCCCTTTTTTCTACCCCCATAAAATGTCTCTGGTTTATAGTTGTTCATTGTTTTCATTTTTACTCTTATTACATTTGTTTCTCTCTCTTTTTTCCCCCCGATACCTTATGCTCCTGCTATGAGTCACAGTTGATTTTTTATATAGATATTTTTGCATTTTCTCATATTTTTGCATTTATGATCAAGGTGAGAACACTTTTTGACTTGAATGTAAAGCTATGGATATGGTATTGGTAGATTCTTTTCTTCAAAATAAAAATATGCTTCTAGAGCCCTTTTACAATATTTGTTGAATTGGCAATTCCATATTCAGTATTTAATATTAGTTTATAAAAAAACTAATTTATAAAAAATTGTAAAACAATTTTTCTAAGTGTTAGTTCTCAAATCTGTCATGAATGTGTACTCTTCATCTAGGTATTGTTTCTTTTACATTCTCTCTCTCTGATGACAAATATAAGAGTGTATTAACACTTTTTGCAGATCTCTTAAGTCTCTCAGATATTTAAAAGAATGCTGTATAATCTAGATTTAAATGATTATGGAGTTTTGGTGTTTATTTGCTAAATAAAAAGTTAAGTAGCTACATAAGCAGTATGAAATAATTTAAAACTTGATTAGTCTGATTTGAATCTTGTGTTTTATATACTGGGGTGTCACAAATTGGAATGAATGAAACTCACGTATTGGGTGGAACTAACAAATACTGTTCAGTGCTGGGGATAAACTTTTTTTTAAAAAAATATTTATGCTGGCCCTCCCTGGTGGCGCAGCGGGTTAAAGCGCAGCACTAAGAAACTAAAGCCACTTCCTCATGAGTTCGATCCCCGCCTGCCCCAGAGGTGACCACATGGCGCAGCAGACCTCTCCTGACCCGCCCGCTGCTCCCTTCAGCAGTGTACTTCATTGATCTGCCTGTTCTGCTCCTCGTTCTGTCTCTGACGACTCCTTTCACCCTCCACATCTCTGGCCTGTACCCCAGTTCTGCATGAATAAATAAATCTTTAAAAAAAAATATTTATGCTTACATAGCTAGGTTACATGCTAGAGGTGCAGGGACAATGAGAGGATTTACCAAAGACGTAGTAGGGAGCAGAACAGGCCAATTGACAAAGTACACTGCTGAGGGGAGAAGAGGGCAAGTCAGGTGATCCGCACCATTTGGATCACCTTCGGGATAGGGATCGAACTCTTGCTGAAGTGGCTTTAGTTTCTTAGTGTTGTGCTTTAACCTACTGCGCCATCAGGGAGGGCCCAGGGATAAACCATTTTACTAGAAATTTTGAAAGAATTTCTTAAGAAGTATAACACTCAAGAGAAGATAGAACTTTTATGAAACCTAAGAAGAAAAACTTAGGGATTAAAATCTCACAAAATATAAATTATTGTGCAATAAGTGGAATGCGAAAATATTAGATACTAAGATGGAGTCTTAGATACTAATAGAAGAAGAGGAGGAGGATGAGTTTAGTGTTTAGTTCAGAAAACTGTCCTAGAAGAAGAAAATTTTGGAATTAGGTAGGAAGATAATTGGTTCACACAGCCTACTGGAACTTTTCTAATAACATGCACGTTTTCCATCTTACCAGGAAGAAATAAAGGAGTCTGATAAAATTATGTGTGTCCTAAGGTTTTCTTGATATTGTTATTTTTTCTGTTACTCAATACTGGTTAAGGAGTGGCAAGTAATGCCCAAATTAATATATACCTTTGTATTATACCTAAAGCACTCTTTGTTTCCACCATGAATAACATTGCATTTTCCTTTCTTCTCCTTAACCTTTCTCCCTCAAGAAACACTGGATACTTTGGAAAAGTGGGTGACTGAAATCTTCTCTCAGATACCAAATAAGTAAGACATTTATTTTTATAAATCACACACCTTTATCTTCTTTTATGAGTCTCGAAGGTTTTTTCTTTCAGTTTTTTAATCAGGTGATTAAGACCCAGTGGTTTAGCATGATGGCACAGCTTTTGAGTGGGAAAACTTAAGATGAAAATCCAAGTTTCTCCATAGTTCAAAATTTATATTCTTGTAAACTTCAAGCAATCAGCAATTACAGTGTTTGTTTCTTTTAATATTTCTCAGAGGTTGTCTTATTGGATAAGTGATGTGATGTAATGTGAAACAAGCATAATATTAAGAGGCAGAATATAATAAAGTGTATCCTTGTATCTGAACAAATTGTGTTCTTAAGGTTTGTTTATGAACTCAGTTGTTTGGATCTTAAAGTGCTTTTCCCCTGTAAAAGAAATAATCTTGTAAAACAATGGTTGACTTTCTATACTGACTAAAGCCTATTAAATAGTGATGAATTATTATTTATTAGAAAGTACCTTCAGAAAGAGAACCCACTATTTTGAAGCTTCATCAAAATAATACATATGTTTAAGGCCACTTTATTGTTATATTTTTGTTACAAAGGATATAAAAAATACTAAAAAAACTGTCTATCTTTTTACTCTTAAAAGTTTGTTTTAGCAAACTAAATGAAATCAGATCTTTTTCCTGTATCAAGTGAGTAAGCTAGTGACTTTGTCCCATTTACTCATTCTAAGATAGAAATTGTTTTAATTGTATGGGAGAAAAATAACTTAAAAAATATTAGTAAATTATAATAACTGATTAGCTGTTATCTAGGTTTCATGTAAATTTCCATTGATAATTAACAGTACTTCTTATGCATGGAAATAGAATAAAAGTCTTGCCAAAGTTGTGAGGTTGTTTGATTTTGTTTTGATACAAAATGAGTATGCACTGTGTGAAAATGTCATATAGCAGATTGAAAAATGTTACACTGTGAAACTTTACTAATAAAATTAGAGGTGTTTTGAGTAGAGGAATTCACTAGGTTCTGTCAGCCTGATAAAAATTCTCAAATATGTTTCACACTTATAACTTTTGCTCCTTAATTAGATTAAAAAGTCTTATAAATATTTAATACAGTTCATGTTTACCATGTTTGAAATTTTTTAATTAATTATTTAATTATTTAATTTTTTAATACCTCCAGAGGGGAAGCCCCTATAAGAGTTCAGCTCTTTTTATGTCACAGTACCTAAAAATTTATCCATAAACCTATGTTGAATTATAAAACTTCTAGTGTAAACTTACTTTGGAATTTGTATAGGAATAGAAATAAAGTTGAATTGGGCAGTAAATATTGGAAGGAAAGGTTACTTCACTATTTTCTATTTATTTGTGAAGTAAGACATTTGAGTTATTGGAACTGAGGTTAGGAGTAAGTAGTTCTGGGTATTGCGGCTTTGTTGTCATCTATTGGCTTATGTCTCAAATGCTTTCCAGCCAGGAGCCTGTAGAACAGGTTATAAATATCTGTCAGTCATACTTCCTATAGATACTGCTTATAAAGCCTTTTCCAATTAAATTTTAATGTATTTGTTTTATTTTCAGTGGGTTACCCAAACCAAACTTTGGCCATTTAACGGATCCATTTGACACACCAGCATTTAACAAACTTTATAGAGGTTTGTAAGCCAAAGGTTTAAAAATGTTTGCAATAACTCTAGCACATTCTCTAAACCGTAACTGAGGCTGCCAATTTTCATTGAAAAAGACCACTACCAAAAGTACAGCTGGGTTGGAAAGGGAGAAAATGGACAGCGGAGACCTAGTCAGTGACAGACAGCAGGCTGCAGACTAACTGCTCTGGTACTGGCTGCTGTTTGCTTTGTTTCTTATTTTTCCTTTGTTCTTTGAGTTTCTTTGTTTATTTCTTTTCTGTTTTCTCTCTTTTTTTTGCCTTTAAAAAGGGAAAAATAAAGAGGAGAGGAAAACACTTTGGAAGTCAGTCCCTTTCACCCTTGCCTTATAAAAACAATTTTTGTTAAATGAACAAAAATTTAAAGGGTAGTGAAATAGGAAATATCAACTTTAAATCTTACCACCCATAAAAGTTACAGTATTTTGGCTATTTCCATTTGAGTTCTTAATATAGTTGGGATTATAAAGTATATATACATATTACTTGCTTTTATCATTTAATATTATTTTTGTAATTGCTACCCAGAGTGCCATCACATGGTTATACTATGTAATTAGCAGTTTTTCTTTAAGTGACTATTGCAAAAACATTCTTAATCTACTACTTCTTTTTCTTTATTCTTTTTATCATAGCAGATTTTTTTCATTTGTATAATAGGTATTTTTTCCTTGTCCTTGTCTACCGTATTGCCAGCCCTTTCCTAATTAATGACTCCTTTGTCACCATTTATCAGCTGGCTAACTGTTCTGTCTGAGCAGAGACAGCTAATTGTCAGATATATTCTGCTTGGTTTTATATTTTCTGTTCATAGTAAAGTATCACAGAATACCAGCTCTGGGAAGAATCTTAGTGATACTTTAACCTAAACCACTAATATACCATAAGAAAGCAGATTTAGGAAGAGAAAGAGAGGTTAAATACAAGAGAGATTTTCAAGGTCATGGAACCACAGATAGCAAGATAGTAGGAGAGCTGAGTTTCAGCCATGTGTCTCCTGACTCATAGTCCTGTGTTCTTTCTTGCAAGAGGGATTCCTCTTTGGCATCATTTCATATTCTCAGTTCTTTTATCCAAATTGAAGAGAAATTTATCAAAATTACATTATTCAAATTGGAAAATTGGCTACTGAAATAGTAATTTCATTGTATTTAATCTTCCCCTTTTTGTGAGAAGACAAAATATATTGCATTGAAAAACTTTTTTAATGTAACATGTTCAAGTTTTAGAGAAACACTTAACATCTGTTCTTCTAAAAAATATTTTGTTTAGTTGTTCCAATCAGAAAAATTCATGCACTGACCATCACCTGGGCACTTCCCCCTCAACAGCAACATTACAGGTAAGAGTTTAAGGGCAAATCTACTCCATTACATTCACAGTCATATTTTTTAGCATACTAAATGGTTTAAATTTTGGTTTCTGGACTTAAAAGCACAGGTGATGTGGTAAACTGAAATCTCACTACTCCTGGATTTTTCAAGCCTCTTTATGTCTTTTTGGTATGAAACTATACTTCTTATAAGTAGCTGCCTTTCCTGTTTGTTTACAATTAAGTTTCTTTATGCGAATGCCCTTTTGTAATTATTTTCCTGGTACTCTGAGTATAAAAATATGTTAACTTATGTTTGTCAGCAGTGACCATTTAATTTGATCTTAGCAAACAAAAGATTAAATTGTTTTTTGAGTCAGATATGACTAGTGTAAATCTCAAAGGACTTCCTCCTATGAATATGAGTTTTATGCACATTAGGAAAACATGTCACCTTACTTATACTATATTTTAAATGAGCAGTATAGCATGGGACAAATTTATTTAATATTAAATAAATGCTAATGAAATGATAAAAGTTTATAATCTTTCCAACACAACAAAAATAAGGATGACACACATATAAGCAGAGTGAAAGTGATGGTTTATTCTTTAAGCTCAAACAAAATTTTCACATATCTTAGAATATGCAAACAATTTTGCCTCCAGTGAGAAAGTGAGAACCTTCCCTTTGTCTGTTTGCTTTTGGTGCTAGGGTTTTACAAGAAAAAGTAACACATTATGTATACTATCCCAAAAAGTGTTAAAGTTATTAGATATGTATTCAAGTTTATTCTGCTTAAAATCTTTACCATAAAAAATGTTTTGTAAAATATTAAAAGAGGGCAGAAGGATATTAAGGATTGAAAGATAATACTTCTTTTCTTTTTCTCTGTCTTCAAAGATATGCTCAATATGTTGTTTCTTCAGACACAATACATAAACATCTTTTTTTTTTTTTTTAAGATTTATTTATTTGTGCATACAGAACTGGGGTACAGGTCAGAGGCTCAGGGGCGGTGAGAGGCTTCACCAGAGACAGAGTGGGGAGCAGAACAGGCAGATCGACGAAGTACACTGCTGAGGGGAGCAGCGGGCGGGTCAGGAGAGGTCTGCCAACCATGTGGTCACCTCCGGGGCAGGCGGGAATCGAACTCATGCTAAAGTGGCTTTAGATTTTCAGTGCTGTGCTATTAACCCGCTGCGCCACCAGGGAGGGCCAATAAACATAACTTTTTTATGAGAAATGAATTATGTTTTATATATATACACACACACACACACACACACACACAGGGTTATTCCTTTTTAAAACAATTTCTTCTAAAGCTTTGTTTATCCTCTGATGATTGAAGTAATTCAAATCTTGAATATTGAAAAGTAGAAAAACTCATCCATAATTATTTTCTGAAGACAAACATAGTCTATATGTTTTCATCCAGTGTTTTTTAATGGGTTGTTCATTTGTTTTGATATGAGTGTTCATCATGAACCTAAAATAATGTGAATTCTCAATAAATTAGTTTTGGGGGGTAATCCTGTTTTCTTTTTTAGTGTTTATCCCTTCTGAGTTACCAAATACAGTATAGTTAACTTTGATAAACTGGGTTCACTCTTTACCTGCTTTATTTCTTTATACCATCTTACTATAGATATAATTCAGTTTCATATTTTAGAAAAGCTGTGTGGGTTTTGGGAATGCTTAACCTAGTTTAAATCATAATATTATATCTTGTAAGAGTTTACTGAATATAATTCTCTAAACTAATTTTAAAATTTAATAATTTAGATTTCCTGTCTTGATATTTCTTTATATTTTTTGTTTTGGTAGCAGTACCTTTCTGAAAAGATAATTTAAGTCACATATATACCACTGCTCAGACTATTAAAGTATATTATTAATAAAGCATTTTTACACCTGTTAATTGCATTTTTATGAACACTCTATGAGTTAAGTAGTTAGGTAAATGAAAATAAAAAGAGAAATGCTAATACAATGGTCAAATCTCTTGCCTTAAGACCATGTATTTATTTAAAGAAAAACAAAAACTATTCCTGGATCTTTATTTTTATTTATTTATTTTTTTTTTTAAAAGATTTTATTTATTTGTGCATACAGAACTGGGGTACAGGCCAGAGGCTCAGGGGCGGTGAGAGGCTTCACCAGAGACAGAGTGGGCAACAGAACAGGCAGATGGTCAAAGTACACTGCTGAGGGGAGCAGCGGGCGGGTCAGGAGAGGTCTGCCAACCATGTGGTCACCTCCGGGGCAGGCGGGGATTGAACTCATGCGGAAGCGGCTTTAGATTCTCAGTGCTGTGCTTTAACCCGCTGAGCCACCAGGGAGGGCCTATTCCTGGATCTTTAAAACAACACATTTCAGTTTACCAAAGAGCCTGATAAAACTTACAGATATAAAGTGATTGATAATCTGCATTATTCTAAAATAATACAGAATTTTTATTTTTATTTTGAGTGAAACAAAAAAAGATTGTTTTCCTTTTTATTTTTTATCATGAAAAGAAATGTTTGATGCCCAAAAGAAAAAAGTAGTATTCTTAAATTTGGAATGATAATACTTCACTGATTTCAGATGAAGAAGTTAAATTTTATCATGTTTTCTTTTTCTATCTTGCTGCTGCCAAAGTGGTTATAATTTCATGGTTAGTGGCATCAATGTGAGAAGTTCATGATCATATTCTCTAATATCATAGTCTTAGAGAAAGATTTGCTACCTTATTTTAAAAATTTTCTGACATTAACATTTTTTTAAAGGGTGAAGCCACTTCACTATATCTCTTGGCTGGTTGGACATGAAGGCAAAGGCAGCATTCTTTCTTACCTTAGAAAAAAGCAAGTATTTAATTCTAAGTTATTTTCAGTATTTGTAAAATGATAGACCAATGAGTGTTATATTTGATATTTATTTTTAATATATTGGAGATATATCTTTTTGCTTTATCTGTCTAGAAACCACAAACAAAATCTAATTGTAGTCACTTTAATAACCTAGATTATTATAATCACTACTTTGGGTTTATTTTATACTTTATAACCCATATTGGAAATTGTTCTAAACAAAAGTTTTAAACCATAAAAAAAAAGACAAAAATCATAAATGTCTAAATTTCAAAATTTTATAAAAGGTTAGCTCTAATCAAATACTTAGACTGCAATAGTAAGAAAGTAAATTCCTTAAGTACTGTGAATTTCTAGGCTTTTCTGATACAGAAGGTGAACTTCATTGGGTAGATAAGTCATCATGAATATGAGAGTGTTGAACAGTATATACAGCCATGTTAGCAGTATGTTTTCCTGGTGCATTTAAGTACTTATTTAAATTGTCTAACCAGATAATGGAAATAAAACTTTATAAGAGTCAGACTAGTTCATTCAGTTAATTCCTTGTTTGATTTTTTTTTCCTTTTAAATATACTATTTCCAGAATGGAACATCTAATTTAAGTACTTTAAACCAATTATGTATCTTAAGAGCATTTGAAGAAAGTTGAGAGGTCAGGGTTATTATAAAATAATAAACTAATGATATTAGCCATATATGTTTATAGAATAAATTTAATATGCTTTTAGATGTGCACAACCTATGTAACTTACTGAACTTTATTAGAATTTCAAACTTTTCATTCTTTCTCCCTGTTCATTTTAGGTTTTTAGGATTACATTAGTCAGGAAAAGATACAATCTCTTTTCCTCTGCCTCTTTCCTAGACAACCTCTGTAGTTTAGCTGTTAGTCACAAAGAACTTATTTGATATTCTGAATATCAAAGATAAGATAGGTTTTAGAAAGATAAGAGAAATGCCTCTATTTTATTAAAAAAATTAAATATTTTGTACTGTTCTCTTCAACAAAAATTACTATGCTTAATGTTTTTCTATGTTGTAATATATACTAGTGTTTCCATTAAAAAGATAAATATGGTTCTTATTTCTGGTGATTCTTAAATGCACCACAGTTTCTTGGGAACCCTGTGCTTTTCAAATTTGTCTTTTTAAGCTTAGTGTTGGAATTCATGTTTGCATGAAGGGCTGAATTTTTAAGGTTTTTCATAGCACTAGCCCACCTGTTCTGTTAATTTGAAATATTTGCATACTAGCAATCCTGGGAATTGATTATCTTTTTTCCTAACTGTAGGTGCTGGGCTCTTGCCCTATTTGGAGGAAATGGTGAGACTGGATTTGAGCAAAATTCTACTTACTCAGTGTTCAGCATTTCTATTACATTGACTGATGAAGGTTATGAGCATTTCTATGAGGTAAATAATTAAAGTGGAGTGTTTTTTATACATAAATAACAGTTTATGTAAAATTGAAATTTTTTTTTTTTTTTTAGGTTGCTCATACTGTCTTCCAGTATTTAAAAATGCTGCAGAAGCTAGGCCCAGAAAAAAGGTAATAGTACTCACTAGAGTTGGGTGTGGAACCATCCTATATTTTAGTATTCAGGCTGTCAATAGACATGCTTTAGTCTTATGTTTATGGTTTTTCAGGAATGTCCTGCTTACTTAACTTCCTTTTACTGGTTCCATACCCTTTTTTTTTAAAAGATGTATTTATGCATACAAGAACTGGGATATAGACTAGAGGTGCATGGGGGTGAAAGGATTCACCAGAGACAGAATGGAGAGCAGAACAGGCAGATTGACTGAAATACATTATTAAAGGGAGCAGCGGGCAGGTCAGAAGTCTGCCATGCCTTTTGTGTCACCTCCCTGACCAGTAATCTGTACTCTTGCTGCATTGGCTGTGGGTAGCTTCATAGTGTGTATTCCATTGCGCCACCAGGGAGGGCTCCTTTATATTCTTACTCCACATGTAAATATATATTAAATGTTTTACATTTTTGGGGTTATTTTATTTTTATTCTTCACTTTTCTAGCTGATAATTCTAATGGGAAATTTAAATACTTATAATTGTAATTTTCTTTCCACAGAATTTTTGAAGAGATTCAGAAAATTGAGGATAATGAATTTCATTACCAAGAACAGGTATTGGAAGTCAAATTCTTTTTGAATATTATCTGTGACCAAGTTGAAACTGGTGTCGATATTGTTCCTCTTTTTGGAAGTGTCACTGAAGTTTTAATTCTGCCACTCTCTGTCATGTGAGTCTCAAGATGACCTTAAGGCTGTCTGAAAATTAACTTGTGTTTTTTAGTAGTCATATTGAGTAACACAGGATTAGTGTGATTGACATAGATCATTTTGGGTGACAATCATTTATGTATGTAGTCATCCATTTGTCTACCCCTTTGATAAACATACATGGGGAACTTGCTTCAGATATTTTGGAGATTAAAAACTGAAGACATTCTGTAAGATAATCTGTTGTAATTGCTTTGTTTTAGAAGCAGTGTCTTTGTAGTTAGGACAAGGAGAGCATTTTTCTTGATTAGAATAAGATGGAAGGTTTTATGGATGTGGCAGATTTGAATGAAGAGTTTAGAGAAGTGCATAGGCAGAGATCTCGGAGGTACTATGAAACAATGAGCCTACTTTCTGCAGCATGGGGCCTATGCAAGAAGGGTATCAGATGAGGCTGAAAGGTAAGGAGTTTAGAGCAGAATTTTTTAAAAACCCTTCTGGTGTTTTGGATCCCTTTTGAATCCTATGGGTCACACTTTAGAAGAATATTTCATACCTTCATCTTTTTAAACTCAGAAAAATGCCATGAACAGTACAGTAATCACCTTGATCTGCCAGTTCTTAATATTTTGCTTCTTTCTGTGTGTATGTATATAGGAGTGTGCATGTGTATTTTCCCCCCAAACATTAAAGGTCTAATTATAAATATTGTATTTTACCCCAAATTATTTTTTTATCATTTATTTGCTACAAACAAATGTGCATGACCTCACTAAAATTGTTATATGCAGGAAATTTAACATTGAAACAAAATTGTTATTTTTTTATTACACAGGCCATAGAATAGTGTTTTTAAGTGCATAAAGTCAAATACTATAGTTTACAAAGGACTATTGAATATTTCAGAATAATTTAAAATAGTAAATTGTGTCTCTACTATATTAAATAACAAGACCTAGCAGTAGGTATAATAATTGTTACAATTTTTAAATAACAGAGTAAATGATATTTTGCAATTTGCAACTACTATAGTATTAATAGTCATAGGTTCTGCTACTATGACTGGTTTGTTGCCAATATTCATAGTTGAATAGAAACACTGAATTAGAGGTCAATAAGAATAAATAATTTCTACCCACTCAAATTCATGTTCATATTTGAAGATAGTCTACAAAATAATCTGTAGTAATTATGTAGTGTTAGAAATTGTGTGTTCTTCTAACTTGTCCACTGAGATCTTGTGGGAATTGTCCATGAACCCAAGATTAAGAGCCCCTGGTTTAAAACCAGTTCAGACATCTTCAAAACTGCCTTTTTGGATCATAACCAGTGATGATTTTCCTGAATATTTGCTGTAACTAGATAGGACTTAAGTACAAGAGGACAAGATCACAAAAAGTGTGAGCTTCCAGTTATTGATTCTTTTGAAATTTGCTTTACTTAGTTGCAGTCATTTGCACCGGAAATGGATATCTTAAGGCTGCTATGACTTAATATTGGCCATTAAGGGCCCTATAGAGTGTAGACACTCCTCCTTGTGAATAGACTGTTAACCATTGAACCTTCAGATCCTGCCCGTCTACTTTACCAAGAGTGATTTTTTTTTTCCAGAGTCTTTGTCGACTGTGGTAGCAAGGTGTTGGCCAGAACTGTGGTAGCCAAGTGGCAGGAACAAGAATTGTGAACTATAATCATAAGTGATGCCCAAATTCCTTTTTCTGGAATTGGCTTTTTAGCATTTGCTGAATTACATTTTATTTCTGCCTTTGTAGCTCTTTCTTAGCAAGACATTTTAAGATTTTTTTTTTACATTTTGTGGCTCATTTTTTTTTATCTCTAGTAGTTTTTATAATACTTAATTTTAAAATATGAACCCAAAACATGTTAGATTAAAACCTAATCAGTATAAAGCCAGAATAAATCAGAAAGGTCCTCACCTGTGAACTGCTTAAATTAATTCAGGTAGCTCAGCTTATTTTGGCTTTTACAAATTTTAGCTTTTACTAAGATTGAAGTGTTTTTCTCGCCAGACTTTTTCCTTCAGTAGTGACAAATTGGGATCTCTTTTCAAGCTATTAAATCTTTTAAGTTAAGAAACTTTAAAAAATTACTTAACATAGAAATCTGTGTTTCTGTAGGCAGAAAAATAAGTTGATGTAACAATAATGTAAGTCAATAAAAGTTTGTGGTAGACAAAGAAAATTGATGACTGGAAAATAAGTGTGTGAGAACATGTAGAAAGTTGCTGGTGGGATTATAAAATAGTGCAGCATTTTTGGAAAATAGTTTAGCAGTTCCATAAGATGTTAAATGTAGAGTTACCATATAAACCAGCTGTTCCCTTCCTAGGTATATACCCCAAAGAATTGAAAACATATGTCTCCACAAAATATTGTACACAAGTGTTCATAGTAACATTATTTATTATAGCCAAAAGTAGAAATAAATGTTCATCAATGAGCAAATGATTAAACAAATGTAGACTACACATACTAAGGAATATTATTTAGCCATTAAGAAGAATGAAGTACTGACTCGTACTACAACAGGAATGAACCTTAAAAACATTATACTAATTGACAGAAGCAGACACAATAGGTCACATATGATGTGATTCATTTATATGAAATATCCAGAATATGTCAATCCATAGAGATAGAATATGACTTGATAGTTGCCAGTGGGTAAGGGGGTGGGAAAAACTGTTCAGTGGGTATAGGGATGTCCTTCTGGGGTAATGAAAATATTCTGGAACCAGATAGTGGTGATTGGTTATACAACTTTGTGTATATACTGAAAATAACAAAATAGCATAATTTAATTTTTAAATGTGCACCTTAAAGTTAATAAATTTTATGGTATATGAATTACATGTTTTAAGAAATTATATGATACCATTTCTGTGTTGTCCATGGTCTTACCAAAGGTGTGCTTTTAGCTATGGGTCCTTAGCATTTTCTCATTGGAAATATTTTGAATCACTCAATTTCATAGTTTACTAATTGGAGCTATTAACTTGCAAGTAAGTAGCTAGTGAAAATAACTGACTAAAAAAATTTGGAATAAAGTAAGAAGATTTGTTTTATTTATCTTTATTTCAGGTACCCCAGCTTTATTGATTATTTTTGTCATGTAACATATATAAGTTTAAGGTATGGAATGATTAATGAATTAGATAAATGTATATATTGCAAAATAATGACTACAGTAAAATTAGTTGACATCTTTATCTTTTCAGTAATTATTGATTGCCAATAATTAAGTCAAGGGGATTAAAACAAGTCAAGGGGATTTCTTGTTGTGAAATAATTTTATTTCTTTACAGACAGATCCAGTTGAGTATGTGGAAAACATGTGTGAAAACATGCAGCTCTACCCTCTGCAGGACTTCCTCACTGGAGATCAGCTCCTTTTTGAGTACAAACCAGAAGTATGGAGGTTTCATTTCTAAAATTTAGTTTTACAGAAAGGTGGGGGCAGTGAGAAACTACAGAGATATGTTTTAAGAACTGTGGGAATGGAGAAAACTTGGTTATTTGGTCATGTTTTTATTGTTAGACAAAAATATTAATGGCTTTTTGAATAATCTTTTATAATTTTACTATATAATTATGTTTTGAAATGAGAAAATTAAGTTTTCTTCTTAGGTTTTAGTGTCTTATTTTTCAAGTGTTGAAACATTACTCAGTTACAGTGATTTCTAAGAATTATATGTTTAGTTACTAAGCAGATTTACAGATTAGTTTACCTTTAATTTAATTGGAGATGTCCATCAATTGAATTTCAGTCATCTTCAAAATATTTCCAAGAAAAATACTCCCCAAATTAGAAATATCTGACTTAGAGGCAGTATTACTCTGTTACTCTGGGGAATAAGTATTGTTAATCTTGCTTGATAAGGGTAGCAGTTCTCATCCAGGAGTGATCTTGTTCTGCAGTGTTTGGCATATTGGCTCTCCTGACTGGCGGTGTCCCCAGTCTAGTGGGTAGAAGCCACTAAACATAGTATACAGTACAGAAGGCATTCAGAACAAAAAAATAGCTGTCCCAAGGTGTTAATAGTGTTGAGATTGAGAAACTTTGATATAAGATAGTCCGAAGCTACTAATTGCAAAGAGAATGGGGAAAGTTAAGGGAAGAAGCAGCAAGTATATGTGCTTGTTACCTTCCTAGGATGGTTGTGACCAGAGTTCTGAATTTTTTTTTCCTGAACCACCATTTTTTTTTCTCTCTAAGGAATGGTAGATAGGGTTTCAAAACTAATCCACAAAATCTTATGTTCGGCCCTCCCTGGTAGTGCAGGAGTTAAAGTCTCAGCGCTATCAAACTATCATCAGCCACTGTGGCCTGAGTTTGATCCCTGGACAGGCAGCTAACCCACATAGTGCAGTAGCCCTCTCCTGTCTCACCTGCTGCAGCCCTCAGCAGTGTATTTCAGTAGATAGGCCTATTCTGCTCCCCATTCTGGTGAGTCCTCTCACCCCTGCACCTTTGGTGTAGACCCCAGTTCTTATATGCATAAATAAATAAAATAAATCTTTAAAGAAACTTAACGTTTAGTCCTTATAATGGCTGAAGGATTTATTGAAGGAAGCCCTATATTGAGATCATTCTGCTGATTTCTTGGGTACCAGACAGTATAATATTAAAACATAACAGTTAAGAGCATAGTCTTTGGAATTATATACAAACTAAATTTGAACTCCACTTTTGCCACTCTTTAGCTTTGTTATTCTGTACAGATTACATAATCTTTAATTTGAGCAAATTAATTATCCTTTAATTAAATTTAATTAACCTTTGAGACTTTGGGTATGCTTTAGGTTTGTTTTCAGGATTAAATGAAATAACGTGTTAAACACTAATTAGTACATAGTAAAAAACTTAGCAAATGATAGCTAGTATATATAATAGTTTATTTTTACATCATTTTGTGCCTTTTTCCATCTCAGTTGTAATCCTCATGGGTGTCCTACCATGAGGGACCCATGTGTCATGATAACTAGTTTTTACTGCTAGTATTGTTGCTAAGTAGAATTAGATGAACACTCTTTGTAGCATTATCAAGAAATGTGTTGACACAACCAGGAGACTAAGGAAGCTTTATTTAGGTGATCATGTATGATAGTTCCATGAGTATCAAGATACTAGGATCTGTAGGCAGTTCCTGACATTGTGGCTTTGTCTTTTCTTTTTTTAAGATTTATTTATTTGTGCACACAGAACTGGGGTACAGGCCAGAGGCTCAAGGGCGGTGAGAGGCTTCACCAGAGATAGAGTGGGGAACAGAACAGGCAGATCGATGAAGTACACTGCTGAGGGGAACAGTGGGTAGGTCAGGAGAGGTCTGCCACACCATGTGGTCACCTCCTGGGCAGGCGGGAATCGAACTCATGCGGAAGCGGCTTTTAGATTCTCAGTGCTGTGCTTTAACCTGCTGTGCCACCAGGGAGGGCCCCATGGCTTTGTCTTTTAACAGGTGTGTCAGGTTAAAGTTGTTACTGTTGTTTATGTGTCTCCCTTTCTTTCCCCCCAAGGTCATTGCTGAAGCTCTTAATCAACTAGTTCCTCAAAAAGCAAATCTTGTTCTGCTGTCTGGTGCTAATGAGGGAAAATGTGACCTCAAGGAGAAGTGGTTTGGGACTCACTATAGTATGGAAGGTAAAATATTTTAATATCACCTAGGAATTTTAAATTTATTTGTCTTGTGGTTGTAGTAAGGAAAAAAGAGTGTAGAAAATTATTTTCTGCAGTTTATATTTAGTAAGTAAATTGTCTTTGTCCTGGTAACTTGGGGGCAGAATTTTGACTATGGTTTTAGAAAAATGCTGCTTAAGTTTTATTGTGCATTTTTAACATCTGGAACTATTAGAATATAGATTTTGATACTGTAGGTTTGATATGGGACCTGAGATTCTGCATTTCCAACAAGCTCCAGGTGATACCAAAGTTGCTGAGTTCACACTTGGAACAGCAAGAGCTAGAATGCCTGGACATGTTGTTCACAGTTATCCTGAGAAAGGACAACTGATTTGTGAAGGCCAGTTGTTGATTGGTTTGTTAATAAGATATTACTAAATAATTGAATTGTTTATTGGATAAGTTTGTTTTTTATCTTTATAGATGTTGAAAATTCTTGGGCTGAATTGTGGAAGAATAATTTTGAATTAAATCCAGATCTTCATCTTCCCGCTGAAAACAAGTACATAGGTCAGTGAAATAGCAGTCATTATATGTAATCTATCTGTACTAGTAGTAAACAAAATAATAGCACCTTTATACCACTTTTGCAGAGTACCATTTGAATTCATATTTGAGTTTTCCTATCACACTTTGGGGTAGGCATGACTCTTTTTTTACATTTGCAAGTGAGAAAATTGAGGTTCAAAAAAGCAGAGTGACTTGTGCAAGACTGTTGAGTAGGTGAAAGAAAGAAACATGACTTAAACTAGATCTTGAGACTCTCTGAAGCTTTGCCTTATTCATGTATACCGTAGGTGATCCTTTCATATTAGTCACCAGAGGAATTGACATTATCTTGTTTGGGTTTTCAGACCAGAAGCTGCAGTCCATTAAAGGATTGTGAAATTAAAAATGATTGTGAGATTATGTGGTGAATTGTGAAAACATTAAAAAATAATCAGAATGGAAAATAGCAAGATGTTTCATTCTATAAAAAAGGCTATTATTTCAAGAACTTTTATTTCAGATAGGTATTTATGTGTATCTGACTGCTATCTTGCAGTGGAAATCATTTCTAAGCTAAAGGCACTGGGATAGGTCAGATGTTACAGTTGTATAAGTAATTTCTCAGAGGGCCATTTCTCCCAGCAATTCCACTTCTTAGGTATATACCCAAAGGAACTGAAAATAGGTACTCAAATACATGTACATACATGTTCATAGCAGCTTTATTCACAATGGCCAAAAGATATAAGTGAATAAATGTATAAACAAGTTATGGTATATAAATGAAATGGAATATTATTCAGTCATAAAAAGAAATAAAATAATGACCCATGCTACAACATGGATGTACATTAAAAAAAATTGGGCTAATTGAAAGAAATCAGACAATAGGTCACACATGATTTCATATATATGAAATGTATAGAGACAGATTGATTGTTGTCAGTGGCTGGGATGAGTAATGGGGGAACTTAGTGGAAGGAGGTTTTCTTCTGGGCAATGAAAATGTTTTGAAACGAGTTACAAGTGGTGGTGGCACAGTATTGTGAGTATACTAAGTGCCTCAGATCACTCAGTTAAAAATAGCTTATTTTATGTTTTGAATCTAACTTCAGTTAGGAAAAATGCTTTTTTAAAAAATCTTGGATATTTTATAAAGTTCAGCTTCATAGTTTGAACTTTCGAGTATGTAAAACAATCCATTTAAAAAAGTAAACCTGAAATACTTTTATTTCCTTAAGGTAGCTATTTCTTTGACGAAATAATGTTTCTATTAACTTAAAGGACAAGTTTAACTTTGAGAAAACTATTTTATAAACTTTCAAACATCCAAAAGTTTGCTAAAAGACATTCAAAATGAATTCATACATAAATTGGTTTATGTAACTGTCCTTACCTAAAGTTTCTTTCACACAAGTTAAGGTTGTAGTTGAGAAAGGGAATGAAACAGAATGTGGAGAGGTCATAGTCAAATTTTGGAAAATTATAGAACTACATAATTTATTTAGCTTAAGGTCAAAAGAATTTTCTGTTCAGGATTTTCTAATTTACGGCACTCCAGCATTTGAATCTGGCTTATTTTTTGCCAAAAAGAAAGATTTCTGAAACCAAGAACATACTGCTAAATGTATTGTTGAAATAACTGAATGCATTATTACTCTTTCCTTTTGTTAGCCACGGACTTCATGTTGAAAGCTTTTGATTGCCCGGAGACAGAATACCCTGTTAAAACTGTGAACACTCCACAAGGTTGCCTGTGGTATAAGAAAGACAACAAATTCAAAATCCCCAAAGGTAAAGTGTTTCTCAGTTAAAAGAGTAAATTAAATAGCAACTCTTTTTGTTAAGCAGTGCCAGGCATTTGGCCACTGTGGTACTCTTTGAACATTATTTCTGAAAAGAGATAGAACAATAGATACCCTAGTCCAGTATTACTAAAGTGAAATATCCTGTCTTCCTCGACATTTTGCTTCTCAACATAAAGGAGACATAGTTAGAATTAAATAAACTCTAAGGTCTTTGTCTTCAATGTGGTGGCCCAAATTGTTGCCTAATTATTTTCTGTTCTTGTGCATAGCATGGGAACTTACTGAAGCAACTTGGAATCAAAGATTAAGTGTTCTTGATTGCCATTTAACCTATTTTCCTAACATTAACACAGCTGTAATATAGCTCTGAGGAATTCTTAAGTTTACTGGGAAGGTGTTTCTTCCTGAATAGGTTATTAGAGTTTCTAATAATGTCCTCAACATTATTCAGCATTCTTGGAAAAACTTTGCTCTTTCAGTGCACATTGGGATTTTTCTATTAATTCTAGTTAGCATTTTCCCTGGCCAAGGCCTTTCTGAGTATCTGTATATTAAGTGTGTTCTTCCAATAAAGTGTCTCTTCTGGACACTCTTTGGAATGGTAAATAGTTACTTTTTAAACACTTCTAAGAATAGAAAATAATGAGAATTTAAGGATTAGTAATTTACTTCAAAATTTTAAAAAAGGGGGAAATAACAGAGATATAAAATATTTGAAGTCTGGACTATATTATCTCTGGTCTTCTTTTTCAGCATATATACGTTTCCATCTGATATCACCTTTGATACAGAAGTCTGCAGCAAAGTAAGCAATTGTCTTCTTTTGGAAATTGCTTTTAAAAAAGATTTATTTACTTATGCATACAAGAGCTGGGGTGTAGGCCAGAGGTGGGGGAAAGGTGGCATGAGAGGACTCACCAGAGACATAGTGGGGAACAGAACAGGCAGAAATACACTGAAATACACTGAAATACACTGCTGAGGGAAGTAGTAGATGAGACAGGAGAGGTCTGGTGCACCATGTGGGTCAGCTCCCTGGCTGAAATATACTGCTGAGGGAAGTAGTAGATGAGACAGGAGAGGTCTGGTGCACCATGTGGGTCAGCTCCCTAGCTGGGGATCAAGTTCGTGATGCAGTGGCTGCTAACTTCATAGTGCTGTTACTGAATCCCTTTAGCCCTCAGGGAGGCCCCTGGAAATTTTTTCTTTTAAATATTGAAAAACTTTCACTTTGAGCTATGTTGATGATTTATTTTTTCTGTGTCTAAACAAATTATTTACATTGATATTGAACATCAAAATGAATTTGTGGCGGCCAATACCTATATATAAAGTAAGCTGATAGAGTAGGCTAGTGATAGGATGAATGGAATTGGGAAAGTTCTTTAAAAGTGAGTGTGGATTAGCTATTGGCCTTTAATGAAGACTAATAGATGAAGATCCTATATTTAGAAACTGCCAAGCAGACTGATATACTTGTTATTAGCAAATTACTTACGTATTTGTGTAGATAATAACTGCATTGTGGGAGGTCAGAGAGCCCAAAATCTGCCTAAAACATAGGAAGTGTTCAGGAAATGCTAGTGTTCTCTTTCTGTCCTTTGCCACTTAAACCATAAAATCCACCCCTAACATGACTATGACCACTGTAGGGTAAATGGAAGTTATCAGTTTTTTTTCAGTCTTTCAACCATTAGCATCTATGATCGGCACCTGTGGTTTTTTATGCATGCCTGACAGTGGGGACCTGGAGTGTGTTCTGGGGGGAACCTCAGCATGCATAAGTGGACACAGCTGAACCGAGAGACTGAGCATGTAAGGGCGGCAGAAGATGCCTGTATGGCAGAGTGCAGAGGAGGGCAGCAAAGAGACCCTAGAAGAGAGCTTAGAGTGTAAAGATTTGCCAGGGGCTAGGAGGCCTCCCAACCTCTTGGCTCCCTGGTTCCCTGCATACCCCACACCTAGTTTCCTCACTACAAATGGTGTGGAAAGATTGTTAAAAGCCTGAACAAGCCACTGAGTGCTCCAGGACTCCTCTTATATCCATCTGCCTGAATTGATGGAGAATGTATTCTGTGCCTTGTTGACATCACAACCATTAACGTTTATAGTATCCACTTTAAAAAACCCATTGCCGCCCTCTTGTCTCTCACATTTAAAATTTCTCTGTTAGAAAACTTAGGCTGCAGAGATGTTCAGAGCCTTTAGACCAGTTGCCTTTGACGCCCCTTACATTTACCCCATTGTGCAGTGTAGATATAATAGCCTGTGTGTACATGACATGAAAAAGATTGGGAAGTACTGCTGAAGATAGGAGTTCTATAATGCCTATGAAACTTAAGTCTTGGGTAAGTTGCATTTGCCTTTAAACTCGGTCGTTTTACATTCTGGAGTAGTAAATTATTAATTTCTGAATGTGAAGTCTACAAGCATTTTTACTCAGATCTGTTTCTTGCCAGTTATTGATACTGTTTACATTTCATGTTTCAGTGTTGTCCTCTTTGATATCTTTGTTAATATCCTTACCCACAATCTTGCCGAACCAGCTTATGAAGCAGATGTGGCACAGCTAGAGTATAAATTGGTAGCTGGTGAACATGGTTTAATTATTCGAGTGAAAGGATTCAACCATAAACTACCTGTAAGTATATATGCTCTGTTTTCCCTTGATTGTCAAGTTCCTTCGACCCAATACTGAACAGCATTTAGGCCTGATTTAAGTGTAATTGCAACCATACAGCAATAGCAAACTTAAAACATCTGGCAATTGCCTAGTATGCAGTTCACAGAATAAAACTCAAACTTGTCCTTTCTCCTCCTCTTGCACCTGTATGCCCTTGTTGCAAAACCTGTGTCAGTTTTCCTTCTAAATTATGAGCCTTTTAGAAATAGGCTCTATATCTTTTCAGTAACTTATCTTTTGGTAAGCAAATTATTTCAGTGTCTGTCAGGAACTTCATAAACAGAGGAAACAACAATATACTAAGAGGGTCAGATCATTAAATACCAGGCAATATATTGTACCCAACAACACAGTTTCTACCTATAAAATGTAGTCGAAAATATTTTAGAAATTTGAAAATGAAATAATAAAACAAAAAGAATAGTTCTGCATGACTAACTTGATAAAAAAAGTCATTATGACACAGGTCAGGGAGGAAATACTGTATATGAAGATAGTGTAAATGCCAAAAAAAGTATTTAAGAAATTGCTTGAGTTGGCATTTCTAACAGGTTGGAATGAAAACTTTAATAGTAGTGGTAGATACTAGCTGATGAAATGCTAAACATTAAAATTGAATAAGCCAAGGAGAGTCCCATTATTATTCAAAATACTTTAGAGATTCAGGCTACTATATTAATTAAAATAAGAAAATGAAATAAAATAACGCTTGGGAAAGTGCTTTTGCTTTGCAGATGATTTTATTCTTAGAATACCTAAAATTTGAAAGATAATAGTGTATTTGGTATAAGATCAGTATGTCAAAACCAATGGCTCTTTTTTCCTAACGTAAGAATAAATACTTAGAAATGCATGGAAAACCAATACCTAGGAATAAATAAAAGCACAGAACTTGTCTGAAGAAAAGTATAAATCTTACTGACAGGTGTAAAAATAGACTAAGTAAATTTTAAATTAATACCATGTTTGTAATAGGAGAGCTTTATATTATAAAGTTACCATTATTTCCAAAATATATAAATATAATGCGCTCTGGTAAAGTAAGTAAAGATTGGTCAGGCTTTTACACCATTGGCCTCTGTGGCTATCACCTGCAGCCTTGAATGCAAGAGGTGCTTGGGAGCGTGGGCGTGGGCAACGCGTACCTAATTGTAGACACCTGGAATATGGTGTGGCCACGGTTCAGTGTGCACATCTGAGCCTGAAGGCTGAGGCTATAAGGGCGGCGTCACTCAGAGACAAGGACAGTAATGGCGGAATGGTTAGGAGAAGACAAGCAGTGGCTATCATGAGAGAATACCAGTGAAAGCCCAAAGAGAAAGAGTAAAGATTTCGGCAGAAGCTGGGAGACCTACCAGCCTCCTGGCCCCTCGGCCCCCCTGCCTTGCTCACCAGTGGGCTTGTCCCAGCAATGGCTTATAAAAGCATTAAAACCTGAAAAAGCTACCAAAGCTCCAGGACTCTGTTCATCTCTCCAAACTGAAAGAACCTGCCTTCTACTTGCTTACATAGCACCTCCCAGTTAGTCAGCATTTAGGGGCAGTGGGAAAGCTGGATAAAATAAAAAAAAGAGTTTAAGAATGCCTATGGAAATTATAAAATAAGAATACTCATTACTCCAAATTCAACAGTATTGAGAATTGTAGTCTCTGAAGATTGAGTCATCAGTACTTATGTCCCCCACAGTGCCTTTTACCATGCCATTAAAAACCAGAGGGAAACATCCCTCTCCCCCCAAAAAAATTAGCAGATTTTTATGCTTTTCCACTTAAATTGTTTTTTTTTCTTGTTAGCTACTTTTTCAGCTCATTATTGACTACTTAGCGGAGTTCAGTTCCACACCAGCTGTTTTCACAATGATAACTGAGCAGTTGAAGAAGACCTACTTTAACATTCTCATTAAACCTGAGACTCTGGCCAAGTGAGTGTACATGAACTTAGCTGCTACTTTGGAATGTGTTTGCCTTAGCTAGTGGTTGGGTGAGGAGAGTGAGGCTCTAGTTTCACTGTTAATTTTCAGACACTGTTAGAATTGTGTTGTGGTTTAGAAAATCAGTCCATATGGCTATAGGATTTCTAAATTTAGCTTAGATAACTGTGAATGGGACTGAAAGCAACCTGCTACTGTTAGAGGCTGAAGTTAAGAAAAATAAGTTTTGTTTTTCTAAGGTTGAAGAAGTGTTAGCTTTGTTGTAGCTCAAAATTGCTTACTGGTGACTTGAATGTGTTGTGTGTTATGATGATTAACTTAGTGAAAATGCTCACTAAGTCACTAATCTGCAGTTGCAACTATCCAGAATTCAGCCAGGGTTCTAATAGAGAACAAAAGATTTCTGGACAGTCTGTATACTAATACTTAAATCCTCTGCTAACAGGCAGCCAACCCCTTTTGGCCTTTCTTTAGCCTGGGGCTTATAGTATCATATAGTGTGACTTAGAAAAGTACCCACTTTTTTTAGTGAGATACCATTTATAAGGTGAAGCCTTTGTGGAGGGGGAAAAAAAATAAATGGAAAAATTGAGTCACATATGTTAGTTAACATACTAAATTCAAACAGTTTAGTATGGGGAGCCAGGGGGCCAGATGAGAGGTGGGGTTTGTCTGTTTCTGGCCCACAGCCACTACCTACACTAATATTCTCACTGTAGTTATAGATATTCATGGTGGTGGCTCCAGTGATTAAAATGTTACTGTGATTTCAAATCAAAATAGTAATAATTTTTATGGGTATGTGACCCATTTGGCAACTTATGTGGAATATTTTATTTTGCCACAGAAACAGTTGAGTTGTTGTACCAGTGAGCACATCCATTTAGAAGTTTGTGTATGCATTATATGCTTTTTAGTGATTATGACATGGTTTCCCCATCTTAAGTTGTAATAGAAATTGTCTTTTTAAAAAGAAACACATCATCTATAGAATTATGACCAGATCTTTCTTTACTCTCATTCATTTTTGATAACAAAACTGTTTTTCTGCCTTCTGTATAGAGACGTGAGACTTTTAATCCTGGAATATGCCCGTTGGTCTATGATTGATAAGTACCGAGCTTTGATGGATGGCCTTTCCCTTGAGACTCTGCTGAGCTTCGTCAAAGAGTTCAAATCCCAGCTCTTTGTTGAGGGTCTTGTACAAGGAAATGTCACAAGCACAGTGAGTGAGAGGTGCTCTGTTACTGCTGTTCAGGTCTGAATGCTGTTGTGGGTCTAGAGTTGCTTAAATTCCTAAAGGGGAACTGTTGTATTTTTAGCGGCTAGCATAATCGCTTCTCTCTTTCTCTCACACACATACATGCACACTCACTTTCTCTCTTACTGTAGACAGAATTTGTGTGTGAAGCTAAGAAGCATTTTATTCTGTTGTAAATGGAGCACAGCGGGCCTGCCCAAGGCGGAGCCTTCTGATTCAGAGGACTTAGTACTATGAGTTTCCCTAGAAAGCACTTGCGAAATGAATTCATTGCTCCTCCTAGTACTCATTTTATGGGCAAGGAATATACGCTTAATGATACTCTTTTGCTCACTCTCTGTCAGCTCTGTTTAATAAATGCAAGTTTCTGAAACAGTTATGGTTGTAATAGCAGGCACAGCCTAGTGGGGTAAAGTGGGTAAAGTATGATCCAGCGGGCAAAGTGTCAGGAGTGTGCATGATAAGACAAGAGAAGCTTTTTAGTTGACACCCACTTAGTATTCAACTAACAATAAATATTACATCAGTGAATGATAAATCTAACCAATAAATAACTCACTGAGCATTTTGCATGACAGATTGTATCTGATTTCCATAATGTTCTACAGGGCTTTCTAAATAATTAGAATATTAGTGTTGGTTGTTCGGGTGAAATTCATGTTGAGAAATGGTGTATTATTTTCTTTTTTTTTTTTTTGCCTCTTAGGAATCTATGGATTTCCTGAAATATGTTGTTGAGTGAGTATTGATTGGGTTTTCTCATTGTAAGTTAGATGTTCTTAGCACTCAGAGGGCGTTGAGCCACAACTCAGTTGATTTTTAAATGCACAACGGAGAGGATTCTTGTACTAAGTTTTCTTGAGGCTGGTTACATAAAGCAATTCAGAAGGGACTGTAGAAGGCTTGACCTCTTCCTTAGGTTTTGGGTAAGTGGTTAAAGGTACTCTTCAGTGACCTGTGCTGATTCTTTTGTAGCAAGCTGGACTTTATGCCTCTGGAGCAAGAGATGCCTGTGCAGTTCCAGGTGGTAGAGCTGCCAGCTGGCCACCATCTATGCAAAGTGAGAGCTCTGAACAAGGGTGATGCCAACTCTGAAGTCACTGTGTACTACCAGGTCAGTTGGCCCTTTGCATACACGCCATCCTCATGGCTACTTGATAGTAGAAAGCCTGGTGGCGAATCCACAGTCCTGGGAAGTGACCCAATGTCTTCAAAGGCTGTAGTTACTGCTGTAGTTTTCTATTGGGATCATTTGTCCTCTTGAAGTAACTATTTAAATTTAGTTCTGTCATGGTCATATTTGTAGCTCATGTCCCGTAACTGTAGGTACCTGGGGAGTTTTTCTTTCAGTTCACAGGCAATTTGAAGCAGAAATGACTGCCAGGTCCAAACTTGATTAAGTGCTGTGGCCTGGCCCTGCTTAGCTGTCCACATTTCCAGAGTTTCTATCTGCTCAAAGCCTCCTGTTGGGCAGGATTTCGTATCGTAAGGTTCTGCTGAGTGTGTTTCATCTGTCTTCTCTTAGCAATAGCTTCTAATATGAACTGCTTCCTTTAGAAAGCTACTTCCCTCCTCAGAGTATTTTGAACAGTCAGAATATAGGTTTTGTCACATATTTTTTAGAGACAAACAGGAAATCTGATTACTGACTTGTGGGGCAGACAGACTTTATTTAGCTTCTTCCACTGAAATGGGAATGAACAGAAATGAGTCTGTGCTGGAGGAGGCTGGGAGAGCCTGACCTGATGTGTACTAGCAACATTCTTGCTTGTTGGACTGCTGCCTCCTGTGATTCTGAGTGTCCATAGTGTGGTTTCTACATCTTATATTAGTTGGTTTGGGTTCCTTGATACTCTTTCCAGCTGAGGAACAAATCCAGGTACCCTCTATTGGTCACCATACATTTCCTGCTCTCTAGGGCCTTGAACTGCAAGTGCTTAGCTCCTGTGGGGAGGAACTGGCCAGAGACTATTGAACTCATTTCCATGTGCCTACAGTTCTAAGACTGGGAATACCTCAGACTTTTGAGTCTAGTGGGAGGGCATGTAACAATGAAGTCATATATAAACAATAAAGTAGGGCATTGAAGATATGCTCCACTTCTTGGGGGGGAAGAGGAAGATACTAGATACATGGTTGCTCAGAAAAGCTTGGTTATTTAAATCCTGTCAGTCATTGTATTTACAGTTGGTCTGACCAAATTCTCCTTTCAGTCAGGTACCAGGAGTCTGAAAGAATACACCCTTATGGAGCTGCTTGTGGTAAGTTGTGCACAGTGTGGAGGTGTTCAGGAGCCCCTGACCACTATGATTGTTCTTTCTGCCTGGGGGCTAGGGACTCTGGTGATGGTTATTTAGTGTTCTCCCCTGTATGAACATGGACAGAGGCCCTGGGAAATTTAGAAAAAGGCAATAAGGGAGGCTGGAGTTTTGGGGAAGAGGGTGGCATATGGAACTTTTAGGGGAAGAAATGAAGGTTTTTCTTTTGGGAGGAGCTGGGCTGATGGGTAGTATGTTGAATTACAGATGCACATGGAAGAACCTTGTTTTGACTTCCTTCGAACCAAGCAGACCCTTGGGTAAGTCTGCTGGCAAGAGCACTGAGCTCAAATAAGGGACTGGGGCTCTTTGCAGGCTGTTTACCAAATATATCCTGATGAGTAGCCTCTCATCACTCTTTGGTCCTTCCATACTTTAGAGTCATACCTATTGGGCAAAAGTGATGTAATTTGTATCTTGGACTATGATTAAGCTTCAAGATAAGCAAAAGAAAAGGCTAGCCTGTAGCTTTTAATTCAGCAGCAGGGTGAACACCCTGAGAATTAAATAGATGCAGAAACATTTGTAGATTCTCCTTTAGGACCTCTGGATGCAGTGAGGATGTGCAAAACTGTTCCCACCCCATCACTAGTACCTCTGAGGGCAGGGCCCCAACCACCACCTGAGCTTACAGAATTTTTCACTCTGGATGTAGGTACCATGTCTACCCCACCTGTAGGAACACGTCTGGGATTCTAGGATTCTCTGTCACCGTGGGGACTCAGGCAACCAAATACAAGTGAGTAAGCGAGTGAGTAGATGGGCCCAATTATTTTCTTGGCATGGAGAGTAGACGCTATATGTGCTTATTTATCAAGTAGCTCTCGCCAACAAGATTTATTTCACTTAATCAGCTGTGGAAGTGGTTCATAGATGGCCTGATTTCACAACTCACCAACCAGTGATTCCAGTGCTCTCTAGGCTTGGACTCAAGTCCTGGGGTCCTATGCAGGGCTTGCCATTATTTCCTCTCTGCAGACAGACCTTAGGACAAGCAAGGCAAGGATTCCTGACCTGGCATTCATGTCAAGAACTGAGATTCATGGCCTTGCTGGTTCTCAGGTTTGTAGTAGTCTAGTTTGGATGTCATTGTTTGAATCAGTATTAGGATATCAGAATATTGAGTCAGCATGGAAGTTAATGGTCTCATTGTAGGGGCGAGTACTGAGGCCAGGGAAGGAAGCATCTCAGCCTTTTTCCTGGAAACATGCCTTAGCCCAAATTCTGTTTTATGACTTTTAAATAAAGGTGTTTTGTTTCAGCTCCGAGGTTGTTGATAAGAAGATAGAAGAATTCCTTTCTAGCTTTGAGGAGAAGATCGAGAACCTCACTGAGGATGCATTTAATACCCAGGTGACTATTGTTGCTGGCTCTTTTGGCCTTTTCCTATAACACCCCCAGGACAATCAGATACTCAGCAATGCTACATCTCAAGGTCTCTCTTTTTGGTGGTTAACAGGTCACAGCTCTGATTAAACTAAAGGAGTGTGAAGATACCCACCTTGGAGAGGAGGTGGATAGGAACTGGAACGAAGTGGTGACACAGCAGTACCTCTTTGACCGCCTTGCCCACGAGGTAGTAACACAGTTTTTAGGTTAAGATAAGCCCTGATTCTGTAGGAGTCACCGGTACAAGCAAATTGGTATTGTGTGGAAGAGAAACCTGCCACACCTAGCCAGGCTTGGTAATTTACTTATTTCTTGACCACTCTAGCACCTGAGATGGCCCAATCCAATCAAGCTTGATGCTAATCTTTAGCACCCTGGACTTCACCATGCTTCATCAACAACTGATACCCTTTCACCATCCCTACCCCACCTGTTTTGAGTCAGAGCAATATTTTGTATTTTTGAGATTTACTACAGTTTTGAAAATGTTCTTCTATTAAAGGAAATGAGAACTTTTAATCTTATGGAGCTCTTCCACCAGTTCGATTATAGGTGTAAGTTTTTAACTTCTAATCCAAAGTGATAAAGCCCATAAGAAAGAGTTCTGGGTTCTACAAGCTAGTATTCTCTCTGGTGATAAAATCATGTGTGGTGAATAATGGATATTCAGTGCTTCATGAGGCAGAAGGTTATTTAACAAGAAGCTTCAGCCTAGCTCTTAAGGCACTCCTACTTTCCTACTAGAAACAAAATTCTCTTCACCTGTTGTAGTAGTTACTATAATTCCTTAACCCAAAGTATATCATGTAAACACCAAAGTAAAACCACATATCTGAGAGATGGCATTAAGGTTTTTGTTCAGTGTATAATTAATTAGCTATAATTGCCTATCTTTTAGGGCCAATTTTTGCTATCAGAGAGGCTTATTTTTATTTCTTTGGAAGGTTCAGGGCATGTTGAGCCTTGGAAGAATGAAATGATGTGCTAAGGTGCTAAGCACATGAAGGAGGCCTGCCTGCCTGGGGGTGGGAATGGGGTAATATTTAAGAATTATCTTTTCAGAAAACAATTCTAGTTTAGTCTAGAAATTGTATCGCTATATTGCTATTTTCCTTCCCTCTGTAAGATTGAAGCCCTGAAGTCATTCTCAAAAACAGACCTGGTTGATTGGTTCAAGGCGCATAGAGGACCAGGAAGTAAAATGCTCAGCGTTCATGTGAGTATGATTAACTCTGACAGGCTCCTAGAGACCATAACGGGTCTTTGCCCAAATCTGGTCAGCCTGTATCTCACCTTAAGTCTTTGACTCCTTTAGGTTGTTGGATTTGGGAAGTATGAGTTGGAAGAGGATGGCAGCCCTTCTGGTGAAGATTCAAACTCTTCTTGTGAAGTGATGCAGCTAACCTACCTGCCAACCTCTCATCTGCTGGCAGAGTCTACCATCCCCATTACTGACATCAGGGCTTTCACATCAACACTTAAGCTTCTCCCCTACCATAAAATAGTCAAATAAACTGCAGTCTTTGTTGGCCTGAAGTATTGTGTATTTAAAAATGTGTATTTTATGATGTTACACTACTACTGCCTTAGGGCTTCCATTGACTTTTTTGCACTGTTACAGAATTTTATTTACCTTCCAACCCTACCCCCACCCCCCTTTCTGTTGTGACTAACAAAACAAGGGTTACTGTAACAGCTGGCAGAGAGACATTAATTAATTACCAGGGTAGATTAACAAACTTGCAGAACGAAAAGCCTTGGCCTATCCTGTTGGTCCTCTCAGATGGAGTTCTACTACAGCCTTGAGAAGCCCTATGTAACAGATGTCTTTAGTACCTAAATGCTAGGTGCTAGTAACTAATACAATTTTTTTCAATGTATTTTTAAATAAAGATAGTTCTGTATTGGCCTTCAGAATGGCCCATTTTCTGCTGTGGCATTATTTTATTTCAATATGGGGTGGGGATCTAGTACAATCTTCCTAAATTCTCTAAGGCAATAAAATATTTTTGGATAAAATCTTGGTAGACTTACGTGTGCTAAATTCAACTGAAGATTTTAGACAACAGTATAAGGGACGGATGAGGAGAGAGATCCGCTACTATATAATAAGTCCTTATAAAAAGCTAGCTCCCATTTCAAGGTTAGACACAATTGGTACCAATTTTAACCATAAAGATAATAAAAGAAACACATTAAAAAAAGGTTGGAAAAATTACTTTATGAAGCTTTAAGAAGCACAGAGTATAATTAAACTGTAGTCCAGAGTTAGATACAATTTAATAATTCCAAAATAAAAGTTATTGAAAGTAAGACCATGAAATTTCATAACACTTGATTTTAATACACTGCGCTAATTTTACTAAACTCAGAGGAACCTATATTTACAGATATGGAGCATTTATGAAAAATCTGGCATCAGATATATATGTATATATGTGTGTGTTTATATATATATGTGTGTATATATATATGTATATTTATATGTGCGTGTGTGTATATATATATGTGTGTATATATATATATATATATATATATATATATATATATATATATATATAGAACCCAAGGTTATATGAACTAGGAAACGTGTATCTCAACAACAGAACTAGAGGGCAGAGTTTGAGACTGAGATTTATAAATGCCTTTCAAAGCATGGAATCTGGAAAGGAGCAGACATCTTGTTTTCAAACCTGAAAATTTTCTCAAGGACTGAAGTCCAAATTGTAATTGCCACAGAAGAGGAAAAACAGGAAAGCTTTTCTCGCTTTAATTGTTCATCTGCATCGGAAAGTCCAGTATCCCTGAGTTAGGAACCACTGCAATAATAATGGGAGTGAATTAAATTCTCCCAAAGGAAGATTGTTGTTTAATTATGCCTACTGCTCTTGTCATCAGGTGTAAACTTTGCATTTCCCACCCTAATGCTTGGCAGCACCAATACGTTTCAGTAATGGTTCATCATAAACCCAGCATTCTCCATCTTCATGAAATAACTGTAAGAGAAAGGAGGAGACTCAGTTACAGGCATGCTTTATGCTTCTATAACATCATTTTGTTACTATGGCTTCTCCTTCAGTAACACTGCAGTTCAGGCAGGGACAAAGGGCTCACCTTGTTCATTATCCTGCTTATTTAAAACTGTGATGCTTCATTTCATTCACTGAACTGACTGACTGAGTTACAGCTCAGGGTATGGGAGTAGCAACAACTGGGAGGTTGGTGCAAATTCACTTAAGCAAACTTACCCTTGTCTCCCATTGAATTTCCTTCTCTTTCCTTTCTCGAGCTTCTGCCCTTTGTCTTTCTTCAAGTTTATGCTTGGCTTCAGTAGCTGCATCAATATCTCTGATTTTTAAGTTGAAAGTAACATCCTTCCAAAGACTTAAAGAGAAGTAAACATTCTAAGTAGGTGTGTTGACAGAGAAGGGGGCAATCTTGAGAGTCTAGAGTCGCACTGCGTATAGTGTAATTATACTAGTAAATCAAATGGCTTTAAGTGCTATAGTTAACAGAATAAGTATCTTTAGCTGACACCAGGGTACTAAAGAATCACTTAATTCCACTGCTGTCAATGAAGGGAATAGATTGTTAGAAAGGTCAAGTGAGGATAAAGAAAGGTGGTGGGGGGTGGGGGTGGGAAAGACCTAGGATCCTAATTCTGGCTCTACCTAATAAAACTTTGAAGGTATCAGCTCACTTCTCCAGGACCTGAATGCCCTTTATTATAAACAAAGGATCAGAGGAGCTGAGGAGATCCATTTCAGAAAAACTTTTAAGGATTTAACAATAAGATCTTAGAGAAACAATGAATAAAAATAAGGTTCAAGAGGTAAACTGCAGGGGCTTAAGGGGTAAGAGATTTGACTTCTCCTCAAAACCTGGGAGATGTTAAGTCTGGTCTAAATATGTCACTTCACAAGTAAGACCCCTAGACACCAGAAAACAGGCCATTCCTAAGATCCCCTTGATGGTGAGTAGCAGAGTGCATTTCTATAGGTTTCTGTGTATAAAACCAAGCAGACGGTCCAACCACGTGAACTATTTAGAGATAACAAATAAGTGATTTAAAGGTTCTCTTCCATCACTTGAGAAATCCCACATATATTAAACAAGGAACTTCAGTGCATGATTCTACATACCACTAAAAGGTCCCAATTTTATCATAAAGGAGAAAAAATTGAGACTGACAAACCATGCCAATTAGCAATTGGATAAGAATTGCTTTTTTTTTAAAGCATGCAGATCATATTCTGGTTAGTGTTTTTTGTTTTAGTAATTTTAGAGGTATATATCACATACATACTTCGGGATGAAATTAAAGTTTCTTGCAAACAAGACCTGAAGGTGTTTCACTACAAATTTCTCCATTGGGTCCCTTATAAACCAAACTGGAATTTCTTATAAACCAAAAGAGTGATGATCAGTCAGTGTATACCATATGGTGTGTATGCTAAGTATCAAATACACGCTCTATGTTTACTTCATTTAGTCCTCATTAAAATTGAGAGGGTTCTCATTTCAGGAAAGAAAGCAAAGGCAGGTTACAGAGCTAGCAAGTGGGGGAACTCCCTATGAACCCAGCATTCAAACCAGTCTGAACTGCTGCACTGCCGCACTGTCTCCAGAACCCAGCCCTGGTGCCTATTCCCAGGAAACTGCAGGGCCACTGCCACAAAGCTCTAGTTTGGCTGTCTCCTTACCAACGGGATTCATATTCATTCTGATCTTCCAACTTCCTTACTTTCTTCTTTATTATAGGCAACTTCTTGGTATCTACGAAAACTGCATTTTCCTAGAAAAGAAAAAAAGTAGGTAATTATCTTATTGTTCAAATTATTATAGGAGATCAACTCTCCCCAGAAGATTTCAATTAATAGATAAAAATAAATCCCACACAGGCACTCCACATTTACTGCATTTTTAATTAAAGTGAACCTTTGTGGCAACCCACTGTCAAGTCTGTCACTGCCATGTAACGTGTTTGTCAGTTTTAACTAA